TCTGATGCTGCTTGGCCTGCTGTGTTCATCCAGCTCTACACCTTGTTATCTCAGAGCTGGCTGAATACTGGGTCGACCATTCTAGGTTGCATCAATCACCAGAAACGTCTCATTGAGCGGGTATTGCATGATGTGCAGCATCCTCGCTGGGGTAAAGAAAATGGGAAGCTTGGTGGTGTTAATTGAACCTCGTTTTTAACCCATTCATCAGTAGTGCCCCTATACAAACTGCGGGGGGAAAGCGCTGAATCCTTTACTGAGCAGCGCTCAAAATGGGATACGGCTAAAGAGGGACGTGTCACTGTAGGCAGGGCCAGCATTTCAGTACCTTCAATGAGGAAAATATAGAACGAGGCCGAAAGAGGTTTAGAAATTGTCAAATCTTAAAGGGACGGTAATTTTGGTGGGGGGGGTGGGGACTCAAAATCTGAACCGAACTAAAGTGCAGCGAGAAAACAACACAAAGGAGAGTGACCGAGAGCTCGACCACATGGAAGGCGTTTGGAGGAGCAGGGTGTTATTAGCGTGATTTCCGGTTCCGGTTTGGGCTGGTTGCTAGGTAACCAGGGCCTGGAGTGGAGGAGGAGAGTAATGGTGGAGACTGTCATGTTGCTGCAGACAGTGTGCGCCTCCCTGCCCCTAGCTGCTGGCTCTAATTTATGGCACTGTCTCTGAGAGAGGCCCCGGTCAGCAACCGGAGGACGGGCTTCGTCAAACCTCAAGGTCTGGGTGGATGAACTAAACTGTTCCCTAAACTCCACAAGCATTTAAATAGTAAGTTCAGGCCTTTGAATTTTACTGCATGCTTACCGTCTTTATCGCCTACGAACACCAGTGCTTTGCTGTCCCGTGTTGTGTAATTCACCAGATTTTCAACACAGTGTTAAGGGTTGTTGCAGCACAGTGGTAGTGTTCCTATCTCTGAGCCAGGAATCCTGGGTTCAAGTTCTGCATGCTCCTGGGTTGATTAGAAAACATCTCAAAATCAAGGTCAGGGTATACTGGGAAAGTGGGGTTCCAGGACGATTAACATTTTGTTTGACTAATAGCAGGAGTCTGGGGGACAGGCAGTGAAAGGCCATGTGTTGATGTCTGCAGGATTTACCCAGCTAAAGTTGGCAACTCTGTTATAATAAATGTTTTAAGAGACATTGTCCAGCAATGGAGCTGTGGGCGACAACAAGCTAGTGACAGCTCTGTTGTGATGTGATCAGTGGTTTCAGGAAGAAAGACAGAGCTTGGCATAGATTTCCTGTCTCCCAGGCCCAGTTTATACTTGAGAAAAGTGGGAAAATCAGGACATTTGACAAAATTATCGGGACACTTCATGAAAAACCAACACTGTCCTGGCAGAACCATGCTTAGCCCTTTGTGTTATCTGCACTTGGCAGATGCCCTCTTCATGTCATGTGTGAAGCCAGATGATAAGCTCCAGTACCCGATTTCCCCAGATTTCTGATCTCCGACCTCCAGATGATACAAAAATTGTGGGGTGGATGAGGACAGCCTTAGGTTGCAGGAAGATATAGACAAGCTAATCAGTGAAAAACAGAATTCAGTCGGGATAAATGTGAGGTCATTCACCTGGACAGGACAAACAAGGCAAAGGGATATATGATGAATCATTGGATCCTGGTAAGTACCAAGGATCAGAAGGACCTTGGGGAATGTGTATATACACCGATCCCTTAATGTATTAGGATAGGTGGATAAAGTGGTTAGGAAGGCATTTGGTATACTGCCTTTATTAGCCAAGGCGTAGAGTTTTAAGAGCAGGGAGATTATGCCAGAACTCTAGAAAACTAGAGCTAGAATTTGTGTGCATTTCTGGAATGAACGTTAATTGGAGGAATATGAGGCACTGGTTTAGAGGGGATTTACCAAAATGTTGCTTGGGCTGGAGAGTTTCAATTATGAAAAGAGATTGGATAGACTGGACTTGTTTTCTTTGGAGCAGAGAAGATTGAGGGGAGACATCATTGAGATTTATAAAATTTTGAAGTGCTTAGATAGGATAGATAGAATCTTTTCTCCTTGATGCAGGAGTCATTGACCAGGGCATAGTTTTAAAGTAAGGGGCAGAAGGTTTAGAGGAGATGTGAAGAAATTTTTTTTCACCCAGAGGGTGGTGTGAATCTGGAATTCACTGCCTGTAAGTATGGTAGGGGCAAAACCCTCATAACATTTAAGAAGTATTTAGATGTACACTTGTGATGCCAAAACAAACAAGGCTATGGGCCAAGTGCTCGAAAATGGGATTAGAATAGTTAGGTGGTTGTTTTTGACTGGCACGGATGCAGTGGATTATAGGGTCTGTGCTGTAGGTCTCTGTGACTCTAGAACTTAACTTTTAATACCTCCCAAATCTGCACCTACCCTTCTTTACAGCACTAAAATGACCCTGACCAAATTCAAAAGATATCATCTGGTTGTTGCTGTACTGCATACATTATCTTTTCCTGTTCTTTTTAACCTCTCTTCAGCCTTTGAATTAGTGCATCATCTGTTCATCAACTGCCCTTACTTAGTTGCAATTTTTCCCATTTAATTGTAGGTGGAGAATCTCCTGTAATGGTTTCTCTTCCCACACCCACACTCTTTCTCTGGAGTTTGCTGTGAATCTAGCTGTCATTTTCCTCATCTACATTCCTTTGGTGACATTATACAAATGCATGAGGTCAATTTCCAACTATATACTGGCGCCACACAGCTCTACCTAACCTCCATCTCTCTGCGATCCCTCCACTCCCTCTTTGTTTTCAGACAGTTTATCCAATGCCAAATCTTGGATGGGCCAGAATTTTCTCCAACATCTGGAAAAGTCAAAGCCATTGTTTTAAACTTCCCTCTTTACCTGAACTGCATTCCATCAATGCTAATTCCATCTTTCTTTCTGAGCATTTTCTCACTGAGCCAGACTATTCAGTTTCTGTCTGGCATGCCTGGACCCAGATCTCCTCCATGACAAGGAAAACCTTGTTGAATCTCGGGAACATCACTAGTTGCTGTCTCCGCTGCCTCACCTATTTTGCAGCTGACAATACTGCCTTAGAGTCTGTCCCATCTTAACTGCATCTGTTCTTGAGCAACCTTCAGTTGTTTGAATTCCCAGCCTTTTTAAAAATAAAATTAAAACAGTCTGCCTGAGCCACTGAGAGGTAAAAAAGAACTATGCAAGAGAAATTAATTTATTTAAATTCTAAGGCTTTTTAAAAAGAAAATGGTTCTAGCTGTTTGTTGACAGTACTCTAAAGTGTATTATTATGTCATTATTAATCTTAGGTTGTGAAAAGAAATCCATCATTATCTGAATTAGCAAGGGGATGATAAGTGACCCGGTGCTGGTTAGGATGCATGGATTAACGTTTAGCTGGTAGGCCATTACGTTGGTTGGGGTCATGGGCGCCGATGGAAAGTGGTTGGAGGGGTTGATAAGGGATGAGGGCTAAAGTGCTTAAAATTTAAGGAAAAATCTTAGCATCCCAGACAACTCAAATGGGCCTTTTAAATACCCCACTTTCAGACTCAGTAGTCCTTATGACCACCTGTAATCTACTTCTGGGGCAGTGGGCTTGAATCTGTTGAATACCTGCACTGGCCTTCAATCCCTAGACTTAAAGTCAGGTCTGTCAAGAAAATTGCTCTACTTGCCCCAGCCTTGGCAATGACAACACTTCGCAAAGAGGTATGAAAAGTGTTATGGATGGATATTGTGTGTGGGCAAGAAGGTAGTAAGTGGACCTTAATGTGGGGAAGCTTGAGATTATTGACTTTTGTGAGATGCATGAACCTATGTTCTCTGGAGTTTAGAGGATTGTGAGGTGACCTCAATTAAATATACAAAAGTTTGAGAGTGGTTTTCCATGGTGCAGTGTCAGGAAATAGAGTGTATAGTCTTGGTATAGAGGTCCCCATTTAGGTTGGGGCATTATTTACTCAGATGGTTGTGAATTATAGGAATTTCCTACCCAGTGATCTGTGAATGCTCAGTCATTGAGCATATTTACGGTGAAAGCAGTAGATTTTTGGATACAAGAGATCAATGGATAAATGGATCAGGTGGGAAAGGAGCTTGTGGCTGAAGATCAACAGTGATTTTATTAAATGGCAGAGCAGATTGAAGTGGCTGATGTTTGCTCCTGATCCTGTTTAGTAGTTTCTTATGATGCATTGTTATTCACATTTGGAATCTAGACCCTCTTCTTTCTCCTCTGCACCCCCCACCCCCACTCCCAACAACTCTGTTGCATGTTAGTATGCCCTGACTGGTACTGGAGGGCAATACCCAAGTGCCCGTTGCTTTCTAGTACCTTCTGGTTGCTACTTTATGTGGCAGCCTAGTCAATATTTGAAGGATGTTTCACTTTTGCAGGCATCGTACCCAAAGCAAGATCCTATCCTCACCTAATATTCACGCACTGTATACATTGGGTAGCACCAAGCACTAAATTGTGTTGCAAATGGTAGCTAGGCATTTTACCCTTCCCAGCTAAGGAGCATGAGTCAACTTGCTACATCGTAACTACTGGTTGAATTGAATTATCTGCACAGACAGTAAGTCAAACCTTGGGCCTTCTAGATAATATGTTTTGGGTACTACATTTACTGGTGCATTTACTTACTGGATTGTCACTATTCTTTCAGCAAAGAGTATTTGTGTATAGTGGTTTGATTGAAACAATTTGCTTTTGACAGATGGAGTTTTTAAAACAGGCAGCAATGTCATCTGTTATGTCAAATGAAGCTGCCAGGTGCCTGAGGAGGAGTCTCTGGCAGTTTTCCCGGTTACAGTTTGTTCGTCATTGTAGCTGCAAGAGGGAAATATCCAACGACAGTGCATCAGTCAAACAGGAGCTCACAGTTAAATCTGAGAAGGCATCAAAGTCAAGTAAGAGCAATGGACACGACTTCAATAAGGCAGAACTGGATGTTAAAGGTAATGCAAAGAGATTAACTGAGCTCCCAGAGAGCTTGCACAGGTCTGCTGCATTGAAAAAGGTAGGAAGATCAGCAATGAATCTTTCCACTGGAACTTCAAGAAAACAAGATGATGCTAGTTTTATTTGGCAGTCTCAGAACCCTTCCAAAGTCATGCATACACAATCAAGCTTGAAACCTAGTCATGTCCGCAGCTTGGAATTTCACAACCTTAGAAATGATGATTTTACAAAAAGAACAGTGCCAAAGATTTCTCCATTGACTGAAAGAGAGTCACATTCTGAAATGTTGTTTGGCATTGCACCTTGTAACCTGGCCCTTTCCCAATTGCGTAGAAAGATTTTCAGACTGTTTGTTAAAGAAAATCGAAGACAGCGAGCTGAAGTACAGCAAATCTATCAGCGAGTCAGGGAAATCGGAGTGCCAGTACATCAGGTGATGAGGAAGGTGCTTGACAGGTTATGTGAGAACCATGTTCACCAAGGTATTTGTCTTGAGGTGACACCTCTGGACTATGTGAACTATGATCAATGCTCTTCAACAGATATTGATGGTTCTGAATTTGAACGCAGTGACAAACCGATCTTGTGGCTGGCACTGGAAGGAATCCAGGATCCCATGAACATGGGAGCTGTGCTTCGTTCTGCTTACTTTCTTGGAGCGGATCTTGTTCTTGTAAGTCGGCAAAAAAGGTAACTATGAACCCTTGTATTTTAAATTAACATTGATTAACTTTGAGCATAATATGTTTTAAATAGCTGTTTATCATCATCTGTAAAATATATTGGCATTTAAATATTGTCACAAATGTATATGAAAACCGAACATTAATAAATTAAATTCTTGTTTAATTGGGTGATAGAAGCGTAAAGCTTTAGTGCCAGGAGGAATGATAATCGTGCAAATGGATCCTCAGTTTTTGACATCTCTGCAGTTCATTGCATTGTTGTGAAAGAACCTGAATAAAAGTTAAATAAAGAGTAATTTAAAAACATATCAGGTCTGGCAGCATCTGTGAAGGAGAAAACAGAGTTAACGTTTCAGGTCCAGTGACCCTTCCTC